CACACAGACAAATTAATTCTACAGACTTCACACATGATAAATTTGATGTTCCTGCCGTTGCTGGGCTATGCTAATGTTGGTTCCAACTGCACACACCCAGAGCCACACACATGCACACACATGTTGGCTCCTTTCTTAATTTTAAATGAAACAATGTGAAAGCGGAGACGTTGGCAATGCCGAGGCGACATGTCGTCGAAACGAAAATCAAATTTATGGTCTTAACAAGCGCTGTCAAAATTCGAGAATTGAGTGCCTCTGCCAGGGCAAAATCAGCGGGTCGGTTCAAAGGGGAGTCCTACAGCAGGGCAGGCAACCAAAAATGCATAGCTCCATCTGCTCCAGTTGCTGCTGCTGCTGCTGCTCGACATTTGCATCTCGCATATAAATCGCATTAGGGGCTCACAATTACAGAGTTTCAAACATGGAGCTGCACGTGGTTACGGGTAGGCACAAGCAGCTGTGCATCTTTTAGATTCCTGCACAACATGATTCCACGCTTAATTGAAGGTAAAATTATGCACATGTGTCTGTGCTGTGTGGGTGTGTGGGCGTGTGGGTGGTTATAGTGGGAATCCCGAACACATGGATGACACAGATTTGCGGCCCTGACATAGCACTAAACAAGCATGGTCCCATGGCTCCATTTGATTGCGATTGTTCCCCACTCGAGATAAGAGTCCAATTTCTTATCGCCATGCGAAAAACAGAAGTAAATACTTAAAAGCAGCTATCGTTAAATATGAACTTTAATTTACGCAATGCAATATGCGAATTGTAAATACATCCAAGTCAGGAATCACAAAATGTGTAGAGTATGGCGACAGGGGAGATTAATATCACATTGGACTAATACTAAAACAATAATACAGAGTAGAAACCACCATGTTGGCGCTCAAATTAAAATGGGGCACTTGTACATAATGTTGATCTTCGCAATATCCTTTTGGCTTAGGCCCGTGCGTTGTCCGATCTCAGCTGTTGCATCGAGCGGCACAATCGTGTCCTTGCCATTTATGGAAAAAGCACCAGGTCGATAGTGCAGGCAGCTGTTGTAATCGTAGCCCATGTCGAAATCGGTGACCACGTTCGCTGAATACTTCTTGAAGTTGAACTCCTTGCCAGGCACAATGTTCTCCTCAACCACTTCGATGAAGTCGTCGCGTAGTGCTGAGCTCTGCTGATGGTAGAAGCCCAGAGCATGCATAAGCTCATGCAGTACGGTGCCGGGTCTAAAGCAACCCTCTCCTATGGGATATATCTCCAGGTTCATTTGCTGCGGCTTGCCCTGATAGCCGACGGCAGTGTAGCAGCCACCGGAATCCGCTGTTATGCTCAAAAAGGCAACGTCATTTTCGTTGGCCTCTCTGAACTGCACGCAGGTCGCCTCCTCCAGTGTCTGAATGCCCTGAAGAATGGCCTGCTTGTGGGCGGCATCAAAGTCATCGGATATTTTGTAAACGAGCAAATTGTTGGGCCAACGTTTTGTTGTATCAATCAGACCATTGCGACCCACGGGACCCTGCGCTAATGCTAGCTGCTGACCCTTTGTCAGCTGCATGTCGCCTTCCACAAACCCAGCTGTTTCCTCGGGATCCGCGCTGGGGCTCCAGGACAGAGGTACTGCTCCACACTGCAGCAATTGGATGGACACAATTATAAGCACCACAGTTTGATAGGAATGCATCTTGCTCGCGACGTTGCTCAAAATTGACTGACGCATGTGCGTAGTTAACACTGGTCATAAATATGCGACACTCGCCAGTTGAGTCCGGAGATTAGATACAAGCAATTGATTGTGCTTAGATAATGCTGTTGGACGCCTATAAAAATAGGTTTAACTAAATTGTGAGGGCGACTGTCAGCTTGGTAGAGGGTATCCCCTCGTGGGTCACACTCAAGGGGGCATATATCCTGGAGGAGTAGTCGCAGCCTAATCGACATAAGGTTCCTTCTGGAGGAAAGTATCTGCAGACTACTTTGCTAGAGCTAACCTAAAGATGATACCGGGGAAATACATTTCCGGTTTATCGTTTCAAAGCGTATTACAGGGCATCTCATAGTCAAGAACAACACTTAAAAATATAGTACTTGGAAATCCTTTCTAGCAGATTACTAGAGTCGCAAAGTCGAGAGTCGACCTCGTTCTTTTCATTTAAATGCTATAATTTCTCTTATGCTTGCGATGATCATGCTGAATAAAATGGCACCAACTCATCATTGCAAGTACAAAGATCGAATGCTTGTCAAATTCCCTTTTACACTTTGGTCTCAAAGTTCTACAGAGCATACGTCATATGTCAAATGACACTATCATAGCTATATGGCTTAATTGAAACGCTATCATTATTATCAGGTGTGATAATATGGTGTGATTGGATTCTCAAGTGCTGAACGAGCTATACACGAATTATGTTCGACTTCCCGAACACTACAGAGGATGAGTAATTGCCACCTAAACTTGGGCGATAAGTTACAGATATGAAAACACGAGTAATAGCTCTACTAAACAAGTTGTCGGACTTGGATGGTACTTATCGTCAAATTTACAAGGTGAGCGAGAGAGAGAGAAAGAAAGAGCGAGCGAAAAAAAATCACTTAAGCCTCTTAGAGTACCTTTTGTTATCGAACGAAAGCCGACGACATTATAAGAAATGACGGCATGTGTCGCTACAGAAATAGATTAAGCACCGCAAAGTGCTATGTCAGTATTTGTTATTATCTGCATTAATTCTGGCCAGTTTTGGCAGAGAAAGGCGGAGATTTTCGTTAAATACGCACTCCAATGAGGGGAACTTGAACAGGGTGGGAAGCTCTCTAGACGGTATCTCAAGGTGATTGTCCAATTATAAAAACATAAAGTATGTATTTGATGGCAGTTTGTTATTGTACCCTTTGTCAAAAGACTGATGACGAGTAGTATAGGATAGAAGTATAAGACACATGTTGATTACTAGTAATAAGGAATTATCGATAATCCGATTTGTGTTGTTGAGCAGAGCGGACATGGAGAAAACCGCGGGCTCAAGAACTCATTAAAAGAAAGCACAAAGTTAAAGTATATGTATCTCATATATAAGTTATAATAATACATAATCAAAGTCATGGAATGTATGAAAAACCATTCTAACAAATAACACCTTGTAGACGGTTTTATAATGTTGTCATATGCAAACTTGTCTCTTCCGCTTTGCAGACAGAACATATGCCAGAAATGGCCGGATAAGATACTATGTCATATACGGATGATCGGTCGGAAATGAAATTCAGGAATGAACATTTTGAGCAGACTCTTTTCCTTTGATTGAAAGAATCGGTCGTAGCACGAGTTCTTATGGCCCAGTATTCTGTCTACTAAGATATCTTCCTTAAGCACGTCAATTACACGCTGCACAATTTTCCTCACATATCCATAAGACATGTGTCTTTAAGCGTATTTTATCTTTGGCGTGCCAGTGATTGCCGTTTTTGGATTTTGTTTCGAAATGAAACACCCTGTAGACACCTGAGAAAAAGCAAGTAAGCAATATAGTTGCACTCTTTTAGGAGTGATTATATTTGCTAAAATATACAGATATATTTGCAAAGAATTCAGAAAACCTCAGTAAGAAATAAAATGAATTCTTGCAATTAGTCTTTAAAATATTTGTGATTAACTATTAAATACTGGTTCTAAATACCGAATATGCTTGCTCGCTGATATCCACGCAGTCCTATTGTCTCGAATTTTCAAATATTTCTTTTAATATTTCATAGAGGAGGAAATGCCATCTCTTATGTAAAGGATCCCTTTTTCCTTTACCTTTGATGGGTTATCAGGCACAGTTAACATTTTAAACATTCCTCGGACACTTGTACATAACATTCAATCTGTTGATATCCACTTCACTCATTTGCAGTCGCTGCCCCATTTTCTTTTCGGCACCCTCTTCCAACGGCACAATGGTCATTTCGCCGTTCTTGGAAAAGCCATAGGGTGTGTAATGCATGACGCTACCATAGTCATAGGTCTGGTCAAAGTTATCAACCCTATTCTCGTCATATTTCTGGAAGTTGTGCTCCTTGTCTTCCTGAATATTTTCCAAGACTATTCGAACATAATCATCACGATCCGAAGAGCTCTGTTGATGATAGAAGCCCAGGGCGTGTAGCATCTCGTGCATAATTGTGCCCATGCGGTAACAGCCCGTGTCCAGGGGATATTCTTGCAAATTCATTTGTTGAACCCGATTTTGGAAGCCGACAGCTGTGAAGCAGCCGCCTGGTTCGGAGGTTATGTTTACATAATAATTCTGATCCTTCGAAGCCTCCTTGAAGATTAGGCAGGAACTTAGCTCGATTTTACGAAGGCCGATAAGTATGTGATTGCGATGTTCCTGGTCTGTTTTTATATCAAGTTAATATCGAGAGCTGAGTCAGTATACTATGCAACCTACCGATATTGCTGTTGATGTAGTAATAGACGATGCGATCTGGCCAGCGATAGTTTTCATCGCGTAGTCCATTTCTCTGATCGGGGCTGAACACCATGTCACCTTCGGTATAACCGGCTGTCAGCTCTGGATCGACTTCCGTGCGAGCTGTTGGTGCTCCAAAAACATCATTTATTAACAGAAGGATAAAGCCAACTATTAATGACTGCCTCATGTTCTTCGTTCAACGGACTACTGTGGAATGGCCGCGTATATTGCTGACTCAATTCGATTACGATGTCCAATGTTTACTAGTGAATTTAATAACCAATTTATTTATCTTTATAGCAGATATTACTGCAGTTCTTTATTTACAACGTGCATTTATTGACCGCATACTATCAATTGGAGCTATATCTTATCTTATCGCTGAATCGAGCGAACCGTCAATTCGCTTAGGACGAGTAGAAGGCTCTTGAAACGTGTTCGGGACAGACGTTTGTGCGAGCAGGTCAACCTATTCCTTCCATTTCTCTTTTAACCATTCACACCCAATATTCGAAAAACAAAAAAAAAACTCTTGGTCAGTTCAGCGTATGTTATTGGGATATATTTCAAACATTCCTAGGACACTTGTACATAGTATTTAACTTATTGATGTCCGCTTCACTCATTTGCAGTCGCTGCCCCATTATCTCCTCCGCGCCCTCCACCAAAGGCACAATGGTCATTTCTCCATTCTTGGAGAATGCATAGGGCGTGTAGTGCATTACGCTGCCATAGTCGTAGTCCTCGCCGTAATTGTCCACCGTCTCATTGTCGTACTTGTTGAAGTTGTGCTCCATGCCCTCCGTGATATTCTCCTCGGCAATCCGAACGTAGTCATCGCGGTTCCAGGTGCTCTGCTGATGGTAGAACCCCAAGGCGTGCAGGAACTCATGCACAATCGTGCCCAGCCGGAAGCAGCCCTCGTCCAGTGGATAGGTCTGCAGATTAAGCTGTTGGACAGCGTTTCTGTGGCCCACATATGAGTAGCAGCCGCCGGCTTCCGAGGTGACATTCACATAGTACGCCTGATCGCTTGTGGCTTCCTTAAAGATGAGGCAGGAGTTCGCCTCGAGGATGCGTATGCCACGAATAATGTGATTGCGATGTTCCTGATCTACAGCGGATACCACAAAGTTTTTATGTACTCAAATTTATAGTAAATTATCAAGTCTCACCAATGTAGCTATTGATGAAGTAATAGACAACTCGATTGGGCCAGCGATAAGTTTCATTGATCAGACCATTCCTCTCCTGGTTCCCCAGAATCATGTCACCTTCTGTATAGCCCGCAGTTAGCTCGGGATCGGTTTCCACACGTGTTGCAGGCGCTGCAAAGCATATCTTTGCCGACACAAGGAGTATTAAAATTCGGGGTAAGCCTCTCATGCTGACGACTGGATGGATTGGCTGCGACTGGTGCGCCATATCAATTCCGAATATCGTCAAAGTGGGTTTAGAGCATCGTGAATAGCAACTTATTTACGACCCAAGGTAATTTTAAATTTATAACTAGTATTTACAGCTTGGGAAATTGACCGGCATAAGGCTTTAGATCTTATCTAATCGTTGCAATATTGGCAATCTGCTGTTCATGGGTTCAAAGATGTGTTAGAAATATTCATTCTCTTAGCTCGTTTCCGTATTAAAAAAATTGCCTCAATGAAAATAACTACTAAATATTCCTGCTGATTACAGTCCTTGATTGGTTTTACTTTAGCTAAAGATTTGGACAAATAAAATGTATCTTATTGGCATCGACATCAAAATGTACCTGATGCATTCTATGAAAGTTTACACCCCTTTATCTAATCTTTTTGCTAATAACCAAGCAACCGTTACAATGCGAGTCCCACAGACTACTTCTTATCTATATCATCAATGCATGGCACACTTTAAGCTGCTGTTTGAAATTCAATTCATTATTCGATTCTACTTTTCACTTAATTTTTATACCCTTGTAACACTGGAACAAAATCCATAGAAGGAGATAAATGAAAAACTTTTTTAGATATCTTTCCAAACTACATATGAGCATGTTTTTATTAACAAAGGACTATCATGTATACAACTCAATATCGATTGGAAAATTTTTTTTTTTTTTATACGGAACAATCGCACCAAAATTTATTAAACCATTTACAAGCTACATTTCAAAAAGGGCATTTAATCTTCGGTGGGCCGAAGATATCCGATTACTCTTGTTTTTTTTATTTAAGCTCCTATCGTGACCTTTTATGACACCTTTTGTCAACTGCCGTGTCGGTTTCCAAATCACAATCCCAACCGCTTACGGAACTCGCGAATACTTGCGAAGGCGGAAGGCCTGCCAAAATTAATCTTAACACAAATGACAGCGACGTAGAGTTTACCTAATTACATTTGTCAACACAATAAACTGATTAAATTTGGGCGGGCGATGCGGAAGATGGCATGGGAAAGTGGAAAGGCAGAGAGTAAATGACAATAAGGCAATGGAATTTATCATCATTAAGTTGGCAAGGAAAAGCGCAAATATGAAAAGAACTTTAGATTGCTTTAGGGAATATGTGTTATATGAAAGCCATAAAAGACATTAGCGAAGCCTCAACAATGCTTATTAGAGTGCTGTATTTAGGATAGTTATAAATGAGATTTTCTGTCGACTGGAATCCGCTGACTACGTGCTTTCATGCAACTGAGGAGACCGCAAAAGCTGCTTGTCAATTAAATGGAATCATTTGCTTCGATTCCAGTAATTAACTAATTCAGGCGTGCAGCTATTTCAGTCAAAACTTTGCGGGTTATCGATTCGTGTAATTTTGTACTTTTATGATTACCACAGTTTTTACTATTTTTTTCCATTATTATTGTTATTGCCCTTATCAATTTTCAATGCATTCAAAATAAAAGATATATACATATATATACAAATACATATACATACAAATATACAAGCTAGATTATCTTAATTAAATTCCAGTATTTAACTTATTGATACTGGTTTTAATAGTTCCCAACTTACAGCTTATCCATTAAAGAAACTCTCGATAGTATAAAATTAAAAGCTACAAAATTAAAAATGTGCATATTAATTGATTTTTCATTGGAGCCTCATTAGAGTCTGATTCAATCAGACTAGGATTCATTGAACTATTTCCAGTTTTTAAAAGAAATCGCAAGCTATGAACCAAAAAATTTCTTATAATATAAAATATATGGCGTTTAAAATATTATAATTAAGCCGAATGTACGTTAAGAACTGTCACAGTTAAGCATCAGCTTCCAATTGTTTACAGCCGAATATAAGGTTATCTCGAATTCGAACGATTAAGTTAAGGGTGAAACAAATAAATAATTTTTTTGATGGCATACTCCTTCATTGCTGAGAGACCATTCGGTATTAAAGTCAACAAACTCTTATCTTACAATATCATAAACTTAATTACTGCTGTCCACATTTGGTTGATATCTGTACTTATCTATTGAGTTATTCTTCCAGCTGAAGGTATAAAAATCTCGTGCTCCTCAGTTTGTTAATTCATTGTCAAAATGAACTTTTACAAATGTTCACATTTGGTCTGTCTGCTTTACGCCTTGGACATTAGCCAAGCGCTGTCGACAGTTCAACATGAGACTCTGTCCGAGGACGATATGCGTCTCACGCCAGAGCAATTGGCGCACTTGGAGGACAACGCAATGTCGCGCAACGTGATGCTGTGGTCGGGCTACTACTGGCCCAAAAAGGAACTAGTCTACAGCATCGAGGGGCTATGTAGGTGCATCATTAGAGCTGTCAAGTGATTACTATAATGTCTTATACTCCACAGCCGGCTCTGACGTACGATTAATTGAGAGAGCCATGTCAGGAATTTCATCCCAGACCTGTGTGCGCTTCCGCCGCACATATAACCCGAATGAGCCGCAGGTTGTTATACAAAGGAAGGATTCTGGCTGTTGGTCCTATGTCGGTTATCTAGGCAAGCGCCAGGACTTAAATCTAGGTAAGGGTTGTATGACAACAGGCATCATCCAGCACGAGCTACTCCATGCTCTCGCCCTGCTGCATATGCAGAGCGATCCCAATAGGAACAAGTTCGTTAAGATCGCCTTTGAGAACATCGAATCTGGCAGGGAGAACAACTTTGCCATCTACAACTCCAAGGATGTCAGCGACTTTGGACTTGGCTATGATTATTTCAGTCTAATGCACTATGGACCCTATGCCTTCTCGAAGAACGGCAAACGCACCATAATTCCTTTACAGAGTGGTGTCAACATTGGTCAGCGTAACGGCCTTAGCCCCAAGGATATTTTAAAACTGAAACGCATATACTGTTGATTGCATAGACTAAAAAAAATAAACTCTCGAAAGATTCTAGCATTAAATAAAAAATTTAAAAATTTAAATTTTATCTGCAATATTTATTATGACAAGCACGTAAAATAAAACATAATTGAAAACAATATATATAACATGGGTATACACGTCTACAATTTCCCAATATAATAAAAGGTTTAATTATAACTTTTGGTTGATGGTTAGTTTATAATATGCACTTTACTGCCCCAAACATTCATTTCTTTATCTGAAATTAAAAGAACAAAATACCAAACGAAGACTAAGTTAATCCTGTGTTGACAAATTAAATATTGCTCCTTATCTACTCAAGCAATTGGGAGTCAAAGAGTCAAAAAATAATTGTAAGAGCAACGAAAATCAATTTTCTGGGAACGGTGGGAGGGATAGTATGGATATATGGATATGTGTATACTTTACTAGATTGAGTGTATTCAGGTCCTATCTTATATCCGAGATATGTCTAAAAATGTTCTGTAATTTAACTCATCTGCGATTTATATGTTTAAAGAGTTAGAGCTAAAAAGCTGAAATTCTTACAGTGGCTACCCTATGTGATATAGATGCACGCTTAGGCAGGCTTTTAGGAAATTCCACCCGCAATTATTGAAAACGCGAGAAAAACGGTTGAATGAAACTTTTTCGTTCATCATCAAATCGGCCTCAATCTCATTTTCAAAGATCGTAACGTAAACTCATTCGAAAAGTGTTTCAGCAATTTTGGATATTTCACCCACAGCTGTACACAATTCGAATCGTAGATTTAAAGCAAAAAAAAACTAGGTATACTTTTCTATGCAATATGGAATTAACATATGTAAATTTGATTATTTAGAACCACAACAACATACATAAGTATTTAATCATTTCTTAAAAACTATTAATCAATCGCCTAAAAAAAGAGTTGTATCAGTTAGAGTTATTTAAACTTGTACTCCTTCTTAGAGTTAGGTATCTAATTTAATAGAGAATTTTTACAATGACAGCTTCATAGCATCAATAGATCAATAGACATATTGAGCAAATGCGATTAGGACAGTCGGAGTCAGATGAGATATTTATTAGATCTTGAAGAAGGAAGTCCGAAGTGTTCCGAAAAGCAGTTTTCGAAAATTAATAATGCAAAATGTTAAATTCAGTTGATCTCGAATTCTACTTTTTTTTAACTCAGAACCGTGTGTTTATACAGACCTACTAATGGACGGATATCTTTGGTTCGACTTAGCTGCCGATTCGGATCTATATATATATTATAAATGGTATATTATATATATATATATATATATATATATGTAGGAAGTCGAAGTCTATATGTATATATATGTTTGTCACAGAAATATTATATACTAGCGGGTATAACCCGGCCTTGCCCGTGGCACGTATGTTATAAAATCAAAAAAGCTTTGAAAATGATTTTAAAACTGATCGGACGGGAATCAAACAACTTTTATGCAAATCGGAAAACTCTTAAAATGCACCAAAAAAAATCTTTGAAATGCATTTTCCACCGAAGGAGTTTAGATTTTGCAAAAAGTGTGAAACACGTCTCAAATGATTTTTCTTATAGATCTCTGGAAACGAATTTGAACACAAAACGTCATGCACCAAATCTTCGACCCCCATTTGCACCAAGGAGGACCGGATTTTTCGAAAAGTGTGAAACACCCCTTAAATGAATTTGAACAAAGATCTTTGAAAATAAGTTTGGGGCCGATCGGATGGTAAACAAAAAACTTTCATACAACCGTTTTCCGCCAATTTACCACTGTTGCGGGTGGAATTTCCCAAATCGCTGAAATACGTATTTATTAAGTTCTTATGTAGAGCTTTGAAAATAAGTTTGAAGCAAATCGGACACAACTTAAAACTTCGCCCAAAAAATCTTTAAATCGCATTCCCCCCGAAGAAGTTTGAATTCTGCGAAAAGTGTGAAACACGTATCAAATGATTTTTCTAATAGATCTCTGGAAATGAATTTGAGTGCGAAACGTCACCCACCAAATCTTTGACCTCTATTTCCACCAAGTAGAACGGATTTTCCTAAAAGTGTGAAACACCCCTCAAATGAATATGAACAAAGATCTTTGAAAATAAGTTTGAGGCCAATCCGATGGTAAACAAAAAAGTTACATACAAACGTTTTTCGCAATTTTTCCACACTTGCGAGTGGAATTTCCCGAAACCCCGTCTTAACGTGCACCTACATCACATAAGGTAGCTACAGTGAAAATTTCAGCTTCCTAGCTCTTACGGTTTGGGCTGTGCGTTGATCACCAATCAGTCAGTCAGTCAGTCAGTCAGTCAGTCAGGACAAACAGTTTTATATATAGAGATTATACAAAAATATATATATGGTATGTACATATATATATACATATATATAGGAAGTCGAAGTCTTTGCAATTATATCACACATTTGCAATTATATCACCCGGTTTTACTCGGTTTTAATGTTTGAAGTTTTCAATATTCTCATACTGATCGAAAGTATATGGGGCTATCTTGTTTAAATACCAAAGCGAGATTACGACGCTAAACCAGTTATGCATTCGAACAAAAGTACGATGTCAAGATATGACGTCGACAGCGGGGGGAATGGCATTGCGTGCGCAACCGCCACTTTTATTAAATCGTACAGACATGACTCACCCCTCTCGACATCTTTGGAAGTTATCCGGCGATGTCTTAGCATCATCAAACAAGAAAGTACTATCAGGGCTAGCAGCATGACGATTGCCATTAAGTGCGTGATCTTCAAGTTCTTTATGAACTCAGGCAAACATTTAACTTGAACAATGTCGGCGAACCCGCAATCAGTCATTGTGGTCACTGGCGGATGCGTTGTTTCGGTAGAGCTGGAGCTGTCGGATTCGGTGGTTGCTGGCAAGCACTCAAGTCCAATATCTATATGTCTTTCATGGCAGCTGCAAGTATTGGGGGCGACGCATACCCGGCCCTGGGCACATTCATTGGTGCAGACGGGAACACAGGTCTGGTCACTCGCCAGGCTGTAGCCTTGACGGCAGCTGCACTTGCCCGGAGACTCGCAGAAACCATTTGGACAGCCAGTGGAGCAGATTGGAGCACAGCGGCCAGTCGGCTCGTCCAGCTCGTAGCCGGCGTCGCAGCTGCATGTCTCTGGGGCTATGCACTTTCCGTTCGAGCATTTGTTCGAGCAGCGAGGCACACAGCTGGTGAAATATAATTAGCTAAAGATCAGATGGTTATTTAAAACTTAAGTCACCCCTTGGATGGCATGTGCAGCCGATTTTCATAGCCCTGATTGCAACTGCACGTATTGGGGCTCACGCACGATCCGTTGCTGCACGGCTCATTGCAGATGGGTTCGCAAGAAAAGTTATTTGTTTCATCCGTAACATACCTATAGCCACGGCAGCACACTTTGACAACCTTAAATATGATTCAATAAGTTCAACTTTTTTTTTTTATTATTTCATGACTTACATGCGGTTTCTGTTTCCCTACTCCGTATTCTGTTCTAGAACAAATACTTGCCAGCAACACCCCGGGCAGTAGTACAAATATTATTATAATTCGTAATGCCAGCATTATGAGCTGTTGTTCGGCTTCCGTAAGAAATCGAACTGAACGCTCGTCAAAGCACGAGAAGAGCTTTATGCATTTTGAATCCCCCTTGAAACTCGCTCGCTCATAAACACCCTTATATGACTAAAACATAAGTGGATAAGAAATATAATAAGAAATATTGTTCGCAGCTGTAATTCTTGAAACGATACTTGAAGTCTGCAAAGATTATGTAATTCATATGAAATAAAAAAGTAAATGTAAGATAGCTGCAGAACCTCTACAAATTTGTAGGGTATACAATTGATAAAGTATACCGACGACTTAAGTAATGGGTTGCACGAATCAGGTTAAGCACCCATGGGAATGAATTATATTAGTATAATATAATAATTGGTAAATTGTTGAGTCATGCACCCACATTAAAACAAATCAGCCTAAGCTAACCGATACTAAGACTATATATATATTTCCAACTATGAAATATAAAACGCACATGAACGAAACAGTTATATTTTTACTGTCTCAAATTAATTCAAAATCGCCAATATACCAGTTTCAGTTTTCAACGGCTAGTTGAGATTTTTCCAACTATATAGTAAGACTTTCGTTTGCTGAATGTATAATTAGCTCGGAGCTACAAATTGACCGATCCGTTATAAATATTCTTAGAAAATTAGTAATATCGTATTACTACTTCTCTGACCGGAGTTTTTTTATATATAGTACATTGATTTTGTCCACACCCTAGTGTATTATTTATGTACACACTTAATTGGTAGTTAAACTATCAGTAAAATAACCATATATTAAAGCTCAGTATATTTTCCAAATCTCCGATGGAGAGGCTTGCTCTAAAGCGTACTATGTTTTTCACGCTTTCAACTTTGATATACAACTTTTTTGTTTTTTATATGAAAGATTTAATCCGTGCACATATCCAACACGAATTATTTCATCTTCAACCCCACACAGTTTCATTTTTGTATAATCTGCATCAAGCACATTTCCAGTATGTAAACAATTATCATAAAGTTAGGTATACACTCATAAGTTTAAACTATATACACTATGCGTGGTTAAATTTATGCTTCACATCTTATAAATTGATATGAGATTATAAAATTGATAATGTGGAAGTGGAAGAAGAAGTGAGATATGTGAAAGGAAAGGAGCCAAAGGGTAACTGACAGCTGTAAACTGTTAATAGGAGGAGAGCTCGCCTTATAAAGGGGGAATAGATTGGACCTGATGCAAAAGAGGAGTACCAGCTCTCACACACATTAAACATTTTTTTCACTATTCCGGGGGAAACGTCTGGAAGTTCTGAGAGCTCAAAAACAGAATTCTGATATCATTTTTATTAATTTTATATAAATTTATTTTTTAAAATTTCAAGTCTTAATCTCTTATAGATTCTCAGATCGACTCGATTGAACACACGGTCTGACAGTCAAGATCGACTTGGCTGTTTAGGTTCAGTATATATACTTTGTGTCGAGATGCCTTCCTTCTGCCTGTTACATTATTTTGCACAACTATTATACTTATTTGACTTATTACAGATAGAGTACAAGAAAGAACACAGCCCGATTTAATGAGTAACATTCTTAGTTTGTGGTCTTTAAATACCCAAACACGACATTTGCAATTCCAAGCGACAGGAATCAAGTGTCTCCTTTGCCCTTTGTGCCAGACTATATTTCCCTCCCTTTCCTGGTTGGTAATCTACAAAACAAAGAGCTCCGGTACAACCGGTAAAGGAAATGTTCGCATTTGCCTCTGCTCCTGACACTAAAAATTGAATATTTAGTGGTCGTAATTAAAAATTAGCGCACCAGCAGCAAAGTCGCTCTTCAGCCAGAGCCACGAACAATGCCCATGGTAATAATCCCAACTGCAGCTAGTTATCAGTAAGTTTTGTCTCAGTGTGCCAGTGAGCGTGTCCTGCTGAATGTTTGGGTGTGTTTGCTACTGAGTCGTATATACAAGTATATTTGGCTTTTTAATGCCAACCTGCAACTAGTTAAGGTACCTGCTCCACCTGCAGCAGACACACACACACACACATACACAAAACGGATGTCGTAAGCATTTAATTTATGCAGGCAATGCATTTGCGTTTTTAGTTACAGCTAAAGATGGCCAACAGGAAAGCTGTAAAGGCACAGTGCAAGCCGACAGAGATACAAGCTCTTTGATTCATTCAGCTACATTTACAAGTTCTGATATTCTAATGGATACACTCAGACCACAGATAAATGCCACATAGAAATCGGATGATCTTTAATCATGCCAACTCTGGGCAGTGATCTTTTCCAAATGGTTTTGACTTTTATGGTGGTCGTCCTGGAATAAGTTGAAGTAGAGTACCACAGTGCTAGCTACTCGCATGAATATACATAATTGATAACAGCATTGATTGTATTCAAATTATAGATTACAAATAGTATGGAAAAGATTGTCTCCGAATAAAAAATGCCATGTACGCAGCTCCAAGTTATCATGGCATACATTTTAAGTACCACAAACACACATATTAACATGCGATCTCTCACTTAATACAGTGGCTGTGCTTCTCCTTTCCGCAGCTACGCATCTGGGAAGCTATAGATAATTTAAATAAACTTAGTTAAAATAAACTAAACATACGAGAGCTAACATTCCAAACATTCTCGCTATTCTAATATCCGGAATCGATGCGTTCATACGGACACAAAAAGAGACGGACTTCCCTGTTAACTCTGCTCATGAAGACTTCAACCTTTTCATAAAACCATTTTTTCATTTCTTTTTCAAATTTATTGGGTATAGGAGATTAATATCAAGAATTTTAAAGCTGCAACATTTTCTTAAATTTGCACTCTGGGTCATATATTATCGTATTAATATCGTAAAAAAATTTCCAAATTTAATTGAAATACATTTTTGGATAAGAGATTTCTTAATCCAATTTTGCCATTTTACTCTTCAGCTTGCTTTGATTGCGCATTAAAAATTAAAAAGGGTTTTTTGTGGGCATCACCATTTAATAAATCAATACATTTTAAATAAACTCAATACTTTAAAATACTTAGCAAACAAAAATGTTGATATGCAAAAAAATCGAAATTGTTTTTAAAAATAAAACAGCCTACATTCTAATTGAAAAACCCATTTAATAAAAATAATTTTAATATGCTTAAGATGTTAAACATTACTTGTTCATTCGTAAATGAAAAATGCGTGCAATACATTCCAAAGAATAATAGAAATGGATTTTTGCATGAAAACCGAGAGGCAAGGCAGAGGAAAGTTAAAATTTCTTCAAATTTTGTGGAAGTGAACTATTTAAGCTCTTCATAGCCAGAAAATGGAATTTGGATTTAAGATACGAGCACTTGCAAACCACAATTCAGCTTTTAATGCAACATCCAGGATGGGTAATTTTTGTATTTTAAATATATTTTGTGAGAATAATATAGAAGGAATTTAATGGGTTAAGGCGGATAGCAGAACGCCTGGCCATCAACTATTCCCCAAGAGCAGTAAAAAAGTCTGCGCGTTGGCCAAGTTTTTGTGTGCTGGCTTTTACTCGAGACGATTCGTTGGCTACTGCGCTGCTTATGATCGTTCTAATTTTATGACATTCTATTTTCATGCATAGGCAAAGCAAACTGTGGCTGTGTGTGTGTGTGTGTGTGTGTGTGTGTGCGGGAAAGTGCAGGCACTGCCATTTCATAGTCAGACATGAATGCTGCGCTTTGTTGCTGTGCTACGCCTTTGTTTGTATTGCCCTCAGGGGTAAAGTTTTTAGGATAATAACTTCCTGCGACTTTACGAGGCAAGCAAAAGCCAAAACCCAGCAGCACAAGCAGCAGCAACTACAATCACAACAACAACAGCAGCGGCAGCAGCTAAAGGGAAATGTGAATACTTAAGTCGGAGAGCGCCTCATATGAACAAAATATCTTAGGACCACACTTAAAGCACTCAGCGAACAAGCATCTCAATGACACGAGCCGACAATGTTTACATAAGCAAAATCTTAATATTGGAATAAACTGGAATAAACGAACCAATCATTTATGATAATGCTTTTTAAGCACGTTCAAGCTTTAAGCGAAGAATTGCATGGAAGCTCTGCTCTGTTATCCCTAAAACTTACTCTGATACTTGAGCCTTTGCTTCATAATTTTTTTTTAAGCCGAAATATTATTTATTTTATATAATAATCAACTTGAAAGCTTTAATTGAAGGAACAGTTTTAAAAGAAGCTTCTCACTTAAATTTAGAATGCACATCTAAAGATATTTATTTAATGCCTTTTATTGCTACGGAAGCTCCAGCAGTTTACACTGGAGCAACGTTCGCTTTCAGCTAATGTCATTGGCTCAAAAACTAAAGCAAATGCCAAGAAATCAGCACATTAACACGTCGGGAGCGAGAAACTCTCAGAGATTCACACCCGAGTAAGCCGCAGAAACTTTTGACGTTGTGGAAAACCACAAGGACAAGAAGCGGGCAAGGCAGCGGCGCATTAAAGTCGCACAGACGGTACATCCATGACTGTGGGCATAATCTCAGACATAATTACACAGAGACAGACAGAGGGACATAAAAGGAGAGAGACAGAGAGGGGATTGAGAAAGAGCCTGACAAATGCAGTCGCATATGAATGGGGATGCCTGCCGGCTGGTTACATTTGTGCTTTCTATCTTTTTGCGATTTATTTGTTGCTGCAGGTTTTTAGTTCAAGCGAAAGTTAAATTAACGACGGCCTTAAAGGTGTCACAAAGTAGTCGCGGTTCCCAGCCAAGCGTTTCCAGACTTAGTGAGTTAGTCATTTAATGGAATTCGTTTGCAAACTTTGCGCAAAGCAACTATTAAAAGTACATTTAAAATTAATTAAGCATACGACGTGTTGCAACTCGCAAGCCATGCAGCTAAACGTGAAACATGAAAGAGCTGCTAGCTAAGCAATGCCGAAGACTAAATACCCTATAAATGCTCCCGATCGAAATCTGTTTATTTAAATTGAATTGAATTCTATCAGAGCTAATTTTTC